GTCTCTCCCTCCACCTACCACGCCGGCCTGGCCCAAGGCCGTAGCAGCCTCCCCACGAGTCGCCCACTTCCGCTCCTTAGCGTCCGTGCTTCCCCAGCAGCCAGAGGGTCTGGCAGACCCCGGCATCCAGCAACCCTGCAGAGGTCCTTCCCAAGGCCCTAGAACAACCCCACAGTCTCAGTCAACCTCCACCCTCCTGCACCCCCGGGAGTCTGGGCTGCTCATGGAGGCCAACTCTTCTGCCCAGACACTGCCCATCTCAGTACTGGCCGCCTTTCTCAACCTTTCAGCTCTAGTTTAACCAATGGGGCTTTCTTGCACAGGCCTCCTGACCACTCTAAACGAGTCTCCCCTCTCCCTACCATTTTCTCTCTCCCATTACCCTGTTTATTTCCTAAGCTCTAAAACGTCAGATATCATGAGTCCAAATTTGGACAAGCACTTCCATCCATCCATCCATTCATTCCACAGACACACACTGGGCATCTACCACATACCAGGGACTGTTCTGGGTGCCGGGGATTCAGCAACCCTAACTCCCTGGTACCCCAAGCCCAGGCCCCTACACCCGACCCTGTACCTCTTAATGACAAAGTGGATGCTGTGCCGCTCCTCCAGGATCCGCTTCAGCTTGGGGACCCCGTAGGTACAGGGGCGCTTGAAGGGGATCTTGTCTGGGATGCCCACAATCTCCACGGCCTCAGGGTCGCAGGCGATCTTCCTGTAGGGGACGGGGACCATGTGGTCCAGGCCCAGGGCTTCCGCTGGAAGGGCAAGGGCAAGGCTGAACGCAGGATGGAGGCTGTGCGACATGCAGGGCCCCAGTGCCTGGTTATCAACCACCTCCCGCTTCCCAGGCACCACTCTGGCCACGCAGCACCCAGAGGGATTCTTCTGCAATGCCAAATATGTCACTTCTCCCTTAAAAAATGGGGCTCCCATCTTACTCAGAGACGGCCAAAGTCCCACAAAGCCCTACGTGACCAGGACCCCGTTACCCTTGACTTCATCTCCCTCCTTTCACTCCTCTGCTTGCTCACCCATATCTCGAGCCTCCTTGTTGCTTCCTTAACATGCCAGGCACCCAGCCACTCCAGGGCCTTTGCACCTGCTCTTCCATCTATTCAAACACTCTTCTCCCAGATCACTTCCTTCCCTCCCTTCCTCTCTCCATTCAAGTGTCTGCTCAAATGTCACTTCACCTGCCTAAAACAGCCCCCTCCATCTGTCCCGAGACCACCTACTTTGTTCTTCATCCCCCATCTATCATGACCTGATGTTACAAACATATTCATCTGTGCATGGGTTCACTGTCTAGAACCCACATAGGGCGGGACACAGAGTAGCTGCTTCCTGCATATTAGAGAGTGAATGAACAGCTGAGAGAAGCTTCCAGGCTGAAGGGGGGCTCCTGGTGAGATACCTCCAGTGGTACAGGAGTGCCCTATCCCTCTGGGAGGGGCCCGGCATTCCGCTCAATCATCAGAGACATAACTGAGACCCTGCTGGGAGCTGACAGCTTTACCAACAACAGCGTAGACAGGATCCAGGCTCTGGAAGTGGTTACTCGCTCTTTTCTTCCAGACCATTAGGTTTGGTCCTTTGCCATTTCAGTCATTTACTTAGAACCCAGCTCTCAGTTTTGCTCATTCACTCAGCAAATACTTCTTGAGCGCCTATTATGTGCTCGGTGGGACTTTCATGGGTCCCTGTTCTCCCCAAGGCCTGGGATGTGAGCTGGGTCAGTGCCCACCCCACTGCTGCCTCATCACTCCAACCTCTTCCAGGATCCACATCCCCTCGCTGTTCCTCAGGCCCCTCCCCATCCTGGCCTTGCTCCTTGGGCCATCCCAGGCTGTCTGTGTCTGGATAAGGGCCAGTCCAGAGCCAGACGCCCCTGCAGCCACGCCCAGACCAGGGTAGGGCAGAGTCACCGTCTGGGCCCTCCCTGGGGCCCGGGCCAAGATTGTTTTTCTGTTGATACGGCCCAGGTCTGCGTTGGCGGCTTTGGCAGCCAGATCCCACTGTGAAGTCACACTTAGCTCGTTGTCTAATTAAACCCTCGAAATCTCAACAGCTGTCAAACCATTTCTTGCCCCGCCTCCAGCATCACCAGCCCCCCGCAGCCCCAGCACTTGAGCGATAGGTTCTTCAAGTCTACATAAATCCATCTCCCCGCAGGGTCATCTGGTTTGCCAGGCCTGTCTTTTCAGCAGCAAGGAGATCCGGTGCCCAGAAGCACCAGCCCACCCACCCTCCGGCGCTGCCCACTGGGCAGGGGAGGATGGAGCCGCCACGCACAATCCTGGGTCCCCTGTGTAGCCTCAACCTCTCCCCAGGGGGCAGAGACATTGAGGCTCCCTGAAGGCTGAAGTCCTCTCATCTCTTTTCTGTTTTTTCCACCTGCACCCCAGCCCCACCGCTGGCCCCTTTGCCCAGAGTTGGTGGCTGAAAGGGCAGAACTAGGCAGAGGATCTGCTTGGCCGAGGTCTGCAGGATGCCTCAGGCTGCCAACAACGTCCCCACCCCGGGACCCCCCAGTATTCTGGGGGGCAGCTTCTCGCCAAGACGGCTGAAGTGACAGCTCAGAGGGAGCTCTGGCCTGAAGAGGGGCAAGGCCTCAACCACTCCAAGTCCAGCACTCCTCCCTGGATTTGGCCCTGGTGGTGGCCCAACTGCCGACCTCCGGAACAAACTCAGAATCCTGGAAACATTCAGCATGCACAAAAGCCTGGAAGACTGCCTGCATGGCCAGGGCAGAACCCACCCAAGGCAGACAGAGCCAGCCCTCCCCAATTTCCCTCTCCCTGCAGCCCATGAACTCACACCTGCCTGGGGCGGGGAGGACTCACGTGTAGACCGCCCTCTGCAGTACTGGGCCTCACCCAGCCCCACCCTAACCCGGCTGGCCCAACCTCCCAAGCCCACATGCTCAGGCCTCCCCAGCCCCAGGGTGGATCAAAGAACACCTCCTCCATGAAGCCACCACGGATTCCTCAAGTCCGCTGAGACCTCACCTTCCTGAGCTGTCCTCCCTTTCTGAGGGCCCTCACCCCTGCACACTACTACACACGGCAATGTGCTGCCGCAGACACATCCTCGGGCATCTGCTGAAGCCCCTTGAGCCAGAGTTGGTCTGAATGCCTGGCACAAGGTGGGTGGCTCAAAAGGCATGACTGAGAAGTGAGTGAACCAGTCACTGTGTGAGGATGAAAACGAGGGGAGGAAAGCAAGTGTGATGTAAGAAGGAGATACAGGGTCTTCATCTCTGGTTCCTGGTCCAAGCTCCTGAAACTCTCACCATTTTCAGAGTGGTAGAAGTGGGGGGGCCTTTTGTTGTTCATAAAAAGCCCCTTTTAACCTACCTGAGTTGATGCTAGTGAGGTGACTCTCAGCGGGCCCCTAGGTAGACTTGAGGATGGGGGCTGGTTGCCAGAGGAACCAATCACGTGATTAGAAGGTTGGAACCTTCAGCTCCCTCACCTCCTGGGAGGAGAGAGGGGCTGGACACTTCGCTAATCGCCAGCGGCCAACGGCTAAGTCAGTCACATCTACCAAACGGAACCTCTGTAGAAACTCTATAAACGAAGGGGTCCAGAGAGCTTCTGGGTTGGTGAATCCATGTGCCAGGAGTGTGGTACATCCCAAACCCCATGGGGGCAGAAGTTCCTTGATGCTTCCAGACCTCGCCCTATGGACCTTTCCATCTGGCTGTTCATCTGTATCCTTTACAATAAACAGGCAACAGAGGCAACGTGTTTCCCTGAGTTCTGGGAGCCATATAGCAAACTGACAAACCAGGAGGTGTTGTGGGGACCATACATATGTAGCCAAGATGGACAGAGTGTGGGCGCCCAGGGGACACACTACCTGAGTCTGGCATCTGAAGAAAGGGGCAGTCTTGGGGGACTGAGCCCTTAACCTGTGGACTCAGGTCTGCTTAACCCCAGGGAGTTAGTGCTAGAACTGAATTGAATTGTAGGACCCCCAGCTGGGGGCCACAGAGAACTGGAAAGTTGCCTGATGTGGAAAACCTAGCTAAGCTAGGGCACGGTGGGTGGTGAGGAAGAGGAGGAAAAAAGAGATGAGAGGGAGAGGGAGGGAGAGGGAAGGGGAGGGCAGGAAGGGTGGGGAAGCCCTACCCCCACAGGTTTGGTCTGGTCATGGTGAGAAGCCCAAGGTTAGGCAAGGAGACTGGCCAATTCCAGAGCATCCGGCAAGCAGATGTGGACTCCCAGGGCAGTGCTCTTTTCTGACTCCGTACATGAAGGCAGCTCCCGAGGTCCCTGACCCTCCTCTCTGTCCCTGCAGCTCCAGGTGGTACTTCCCACCCCCCACCTCCTGTGGCCCCACCACGCAGAGGGACTTCTCCATAGAGGGGCTGCACGATGCAGGTGTGACTCGACGACATCACACCTGCGTGCTGAGTGGTCTGCAGGTACCTGTGTCATCTCCCCAGGGACTGAGAGCCACCCACCCAGGCAAGGGCCACACTGCATATGACCGCTGAGCGGGGCTTTCAGACGAAGCTCAACAAAGTCTGAGCAAGTGAGAGTGAGCTAGGACTGCCCAGGAGACAACGAGAGTAGCCGTGGTGATAGGTGGGCACCGCGGGGTTCTGAGGACCCTGAGTGGGAAGGGCTCCTGGGTTGTCTGCTTTAGACCCTGTCTTCTAACCAACCAGTGGCTGCACTGTCCACTTGGCTGAAGCAGGACCACGTGGAGGACACCCCTGCCCCAGTTACCACCTGTGTCTGCTGCTCAGAGTGCAGCAGAGGGGACATGTGCTCTGAGTTCTGCCCTGGGTACCTGGGACACAGAGAGGGGCCAGCGCGGTCCTGGCCCTCACGGGGACAGACACAGGCAAGGTGCGTCATGTGTGCGATGTGTAACAGAGAGGAAACCGTCAGGGCTCTGGGGGCCCAGACGGAGTCCTGAAGAACAGGTGGGAGTTTGTCCCCCAAACAGGCAAAGGACATGCCGGGCAGGGGGTACAGCCCGGGCAGCGGGGAGGAGGCAGGGAACAGCATGGTGTGTTGGAAAACCTGCAGACACGCGAGGCCAAGAGTCGTTTTTCTGGGCCCTCTGGATGGTCCCCCAGACAGATGCTCTGCCCCCAGCAGGCCCACCTACCATAGGTGAGTCCACCTCTGGGGCTTTGCCATCAGTCCAGCCCCCTGGAGAATCTGGAAGGAAATATTGACACAACCACCCCCAACCCAGGCAGGAGATGACATTCGTGTTGACGGCGCGCGGGTGCCAGCATATGGCTCCCGCTGCCGTGTTGGGGAACACGAGTGACTGCCACATAATGAGATGCTCAGTGCGCTGCTGGGGCCACACCGCGGGCCGCGCCGCCCACTCACCATATCTGCTGTTAAACAGGATCTGCACACACTCCCGGAGCGTGTTGATGTCCTCAGTTTCTTTTATGAAGGCGTCCCACTTCTCTATCAAAACACAGGAGGTACAAGTGAGGGTCCATCGGAGCAGGGACCCCCTGCGGCCTGGCTGCCTCTTGCTTCTGTCTGCCCCGTGGGCAGTCGGTACCGTGCAGGCTCAGTTGGTCCATCCTGGGTCTCTCCTGCCCCAGACCGGCAGGACGCTGGGAGATGCTGAGTCCTGACCTTCAAAACCTAACCCTCATGCCTTGCGCACCTGGGGTCTCACCCAGCTTTGGCCGTGCTGATGTCCCTTACACCCTCAGCTCTGCTGGCCTCTCTCATAAAACCAAAGCCTCTGCCTCAATTTAATGTTAATAACTAGAGGGATTCTTTGGTTATTAAAATTATACAAGTAACATCTTTAACTTATTAAGAGCTTATCTGTGGTAAGTACTTTTATATATATATATATATATATATATATATATCTTAGTTAATCCCT